CCCATATGGGTTTAACGCCTATTTCCATATAATAAAAATAAAAATAATAAATGAAGGGAGACAGAAAACGGAAAACTAGGAAAGGGAATAAAGATTGGAAAGAAAAAATGGTAAACGAAGTCTACCGAAATGAAGGGAAGATAAAGATGTAAAAGGAAGGAAGGAGAAGAAGAATGAGTAGATAAGGAAGAGGGGCAGAGGAGAGAAGGAAGAGGGACGGAGGAGAGAAGGAAGAGGGACGGAGGAGAGAAGGAAGAGGGACGGAGGAGAGAAGGAAGAGGGACGGAGGAGAGAAGGAAGAGGGACGGAGGAGAGAAGGAAGAGGGACGGAGGAGAGAAGGAAGAGGGACGGAGGAGAGAAGGAAGAGGGACGGAGGAGAGAAGGAAGAGAGACGGAGGAGAGAAGGAAGAGGGACGGAGGAGAGAAGGAAGAGGGACGGAGGAGAGAAGGAAGAGGGACGGAGGAGAGAAGGAAGAGGGACGGAGGAGAGAAGGAAGAGGGACGGAGAAGAGAAGGAAGAGGGACGGAGGAGAGAAGGAAGAGGGACGGAGGAGAGAAGGAAGAGGGACGGAGGAGAGAAGGAAGAGGGACGGAGGAGTGAAGGAAGAGGGGCGGAGGAGAGAAGGAAGAGGGGCGGAGGAGAGAAGGAAGAGGGGCGGAGGAGAGAAGGAAGAGGGACGGAGGAGAGAAGGAAGAGGGACGGAGGAGAGAAGGAAGAGGGACGGAGGAGAGAAGGAAGAGGGACGGAGGAGAGAAGGAAGAGGGACGGAGGAGAGAAGGAAGAGGGACGGAGGAGAGAAGGAAGAGGGACGGAGGAGAGAAGGAAGAGGGACGGAGGAGAGAAGGAAGAGGGACGGAGGAGAGAAGGAAGAGGGACGGAGGAGAGAAGGAAGAGGGACGGAGGAGAGAAGGAAGAGGGACGGAGGAGAGAAGGAAGAGGGACGGAGGAGAGGAGAGGATAATTAAAAGAATAGAGTAATTGGTGAGAGGTAATGAGTATAATGATAGAGAGGACAAATGAACACGAAAAGCAAACGTAAAGAAGGGAAGGCATAAGTAGAAGCAGCGAAGAGAGAAGCAGTAACTACGGTAAGACAGAGGAAAAAAGGAAGAAAGTGAAGTAATTTATGATAAACATTGGGGTACGTGGATAACTTAAGCGTAATGAACACTGATCAATGTTCAATAACAACCCTCACAAGAGCATCGAAATATATCATTTACGTCTCCAGTAAGTTATTGTTGAGCGTTAACATTTTGTTCTGATTTTTAACCCCGGAGGGTTAGCCACCCAGGACAGCCCAAGACAGTCAGTGCGTCATTAAGGACTGTCTGATTTCCATTGTGGTCCTTCAATTTTATCCCACAAGATGCGACCTACACCGATTGACTAACACCTACTTACTTGCTAGGTGAACAGGGACAGAAGGTGTAAGGAACACGCCCAATGTTTCCACTCGTGCCGGGGATCGAACCACCGACTGTGTGTGTGTGTGTCTGTGTGTCTGTGTGTCTGTGTGTCTGTGTGTGTGTGTGTGTGTCTGTGTGTGTGTGTGTGTGTGTGTGTGTGTGTGTGTGTGTGTGTGTGTGTGTGTGTGTGTGTGTGTGTGTGTGTGTGTGTGTGTGTGTGTCTGTCTGTCTGTCTGTCTGTCTGTCTGTCTGTCTGTACACTCACCTAGTTGAGGTTGCGGGGGTCGAGTCCGAGCTCCTGGCCCCGCCTCTTCACTGATCGCTACTAGGTCACTCTCCCTGAGCCGTGAGCTTTATCATACCTCTGCTTAAAGCTATGTATGGATCCTGCTTCCACTACATCGCTTCCCAAACTATTCCACTTACTGACTACTCTGTGGCTGAAGAAATACTTCCTAACATCCCTGTGATTCATCTGTGTCTTCAACTTCCAACTGTCCCCCCTTGCTACTGTGTCCAATCTCTGGAACATCCTGTCTTCGTCCACCTTGTCAATTCCTCTCAGTATTTTGTATGTCGTTATCATGTCCACCCTATCTCTCCTGTCCTCCAGTGTCGTCAGGTTGATTTCCCTTAACCTCTCCTCGTAGGACATACCTCTTAGCTCTGGGACTAGTCTTGTTGCAAACCTTTGCACTTTCTCTAGTTTCTTTACATGCTTGGCTAGGTGTGGGTTCCAAACTGGTGCCGCATACTCCAATATGGGCCTAACGTACACGGTGTACAGGGTCCTGAATGATTCCTTATTAAGATGTCGGAATGCTGTTCTGAGGTTTGCTAGGCGCCCATATGCTGCAGCAGTTATTTGGTTGATGTGCGCTTCAGGAGATGTGCCTGGTGTTATACTCACCCCAAGATCTTTTTCCTTGAGTGAGGTTTGTAGTCTCTGGCCCCCTAGACTGCACTCCGTCTGCGGTCTTCTTTGCCCTTCCCCAATCTTCATGACTTTGCACTTGATTGTGTGTGTGTGTGTGTGTGTGTGTGTGTGTGTGTGTGTGTGTGTGTGTGTGTGTGTGTGTGTGTGTGTGTGTGTGTGTGTGTGTGTGTGTCGCGAGAGTTGCCTACCAGCGTTGGTGGGTAGTCTTCACCCCTTACTCCCCTCTTAAAAGGGCAGTGTGTACATACCCTTTACTATCCCAGTATACCATTAAGGTTTGTAATGTCATTTTAACCAACGACCTTTATAAATATTTTTTTTGTTCCTCTCCTCCTCTATCTTGTTTCTCTTTCCATCTCTTTCTTTTTTGGAAAGAAATTTAGAATAACGGAACAACGGGTTCTAACTCACTCGCCCCTGGTTCAAACCCCACCCGTTCCGTGCTTTTTTTTTTTTAAGGTGTTGAAGATCCAAAAGTGAAGACAAAGTCATGGTGTAAGAACCAGCTGGACAAACATTCTGTAAACAGTCTTAAACAAGATGGCAGACTGAGGCAAACTGTGGTCAGCAGTTCTTGATGCTAGTTCAACTGCATCAAGAGTTTTAAAACAATGACACAAGTAGTAGTGGTGATGGTAGTGGTGGTGGTGGTAGTAGTAGTGATGGTAGTGGTGGTGCTAGTAGTAGCGGTGGTGGTAGTAGTGGTGGTGGTAGTGGTGGTAGTGGTGGTGGTAGTGGTGGTAGTGGTGGTAGCAGTGATGGTAGTAGTAGTAGTAGTAGTGATGGTAGTGGTAGTAGTAGTGGTGGTGGTAGTAGTAGTGGTGGTGGTGGTGGTAGTGGTAGTAGCAGTGATGGTAGTAGTGGTAGTGGTGGAAGTAGTAGTGGTGGTAGTGGTGGTGGTGGTAGTGGTGGTGGTGGTAGTAGTGGTGGTGGTGATGGTAGTAGTGGTAGTAGCAGTGATGGTAGTAGTAGTAGTAGTGGTGGTGGTGGTGGTAGTAGTAGTAGCAGTGATGGTAGTAGTAGTAGTAGTGTGTGGTGGTGGTAGTAGTAGTAGTAGTGATGGTAGTGGTTGTGGTGGTAGTAGTAGTAGTAGTAGTGATGGTAGTGGTGGTAGTAGTAGTAGTAGTGTGGTAGGTGTGGTGGTGGTAGTAGTAGTAGTAGTAGTAGTGATGGTAGTGGTGGTGGTAGTAGTGGTGGTAGTAGTGGTGGTGGTGGTAGTGGTAGTAGTAGTGGTAGTAGTAGTAGTAGTGGTGGTAGTATGGGTGGTAGTAGTTAGTAGTGGTGGTAGTAGTAGTAGTGGTAGTAGTAGAGTAGTGTGTGGTAGTAGTAGTAGTGGTGGTGGTAGTAGTAGTGGTAGTAGTAGTAGTGGTGGTGGTAGTAGTGGTGGTAGGTGTAGTAGTGGTGGTAATGGTGGTGGTGGTAGTAGTAGTGTGGTGGTAGTAGTAGTAGGTGGTGGTGGTGGTGGTGGTGTAGTAGTAGTGTGTGGTGGTGGTGGTAGTAGTAGTAGTGGTGGTGTAGTAGTAGTAGTAGTGTGGTGGTGGTGGTAGTAGTAGTAGTAGTGGTGGTGGTGGTGGTAGTAGTAGTAGTGGTGGTGGTGGTAGTAGTAGTAGTAGTGTTGGTGGTGGTGGTAGTAGTAGTAGTGGTGGTGGTGGTAGTAGTAGTAGTGGTGGTGGTAGTAGTAGTTGGTGGTGGTGGTGGTGGTAGTAGTAGTGGTGGTGGTGGTGGTGGTGTGGTGGTGGTGGTAGGTAGTGGTGGTGGTGGTGGTAGTAGTGGTTGGTAGTAGTGGTAGTAGTAGTAGTGTGTGTGGTGGTGGTAGTAGTGGTGGTGGTAGTAGTGGTGGTGGTAGTAGTAGTGGTGGTGGTGGTAGTGGTAGTAGTGGTAGTAGTAGTATCTGCTACCAAGCTTCTCAGAATATCGTGTTGTCGACGTCCACCTGCACCACTAGCGGTGCAGGTGGTACACATCTAAGAGTTGCAGTGGAGCAACACGTAGTGGCAGCACCAACACCACTATAAACAAGATGTAGTCTGTACTTCATCCATTACACCCACTCTCACTCTCGCGTAAAATTCGTTCCATTTTCTTTCAAAATGGCATGGAATATACCCCCCCCCCCCCCGGTTTAAAGCCGGTAGTGGCCGGAGGTGAAAGGTGGCATAGGAGCCTTTTGCTTTACTATCCTTGCCTGAAGTATGGAGATAATAAATGATAGTTCTCAATCTAAATAAAGATGGTCCTTCTCAGAAGATAACCTAGGTAAGAAAATCAAAATCGTTCGCTCTCTCTATTTCCCATGTACTCCCTCCCTCCCTTTCCTTCTCTAAAATAAACTTTTCGATCACAAACAGCTAATGGTCTCATGAATAATATAAAATATTAATGGGGTTACTAATCAGAAGGCTTAGTAACCCATCATCAGATTTCCAGTGGGATCCTTTAATCATCTCACCATACATGTGATCTACACCCGTCGCCTAACACCCTGATACATACATACTGCTAGGTAATCAGGGCCAGCAGGCGTAAGGAAACATACTCAAAGATCGAACCTGGGTCCCTAATTGCGCGAGCCACAAGCACCTACGGAAATAAGGGGCAACAGTAACAGTTGCAACAGACACAATGATCAGGATAAAAAGGGAGGTGAGGTACCTGGCTCCCGTGGCATTGCCACAGAGTCTGGGAGTGCCAAACTGAGGATGATCAGTGCCGTTCTCGATGTACCAGTTGGTGTCATTGTCCAGCCACCTGAAACATCAATAATTACAATTATAGATACCTTCATACGAATTCATAAATGTACACACACACACACACACACACACACACACACACACACACACACAACTGGGACTTGACAAGCGTCCAAAACTGACCGAAATTACGGGTTTTTGGTGAATTGTTGCAGTCACGGTATTGTGACCCAGAAAGGGGCGAAATATACAGATCAATTAATTTCCCCGAGTTTGTTTCCATGTGGGTTTTTACTCAGCAGTGACAAATGTTCATTACACTTAACTTACACACAAATACGAGTACACACGCGAGAAACGAGTACGTTGCTGCCATAAAGGATATTTTGAAAGCGATAACTCGCCAGAGATGTAAAAATCAGAACACGCTACACATCTAAAATCTTCACTAGCCTTAAGTCATACCCAGCGATGTGTACCTACAGTGAAAATACCCAGGATGTTTAAGATGGAACTGATATGTTGAGTTGGACGCATCAGTGAGCAGAATGCAAAGTTTGCCTGCAATACAAGGCCAGCAACACCTTGCAACACTACTCCCGTTTATCTACGTAATGTATTACACGGAAAGACCGGGTTTTGGATTATACAACCACACTACAGTAAGAGACCAGGTCTTGAATTATTCCCACCGTACAGGTTCTATTTGGTGCTACTTACAATTCCAGTACCACCTAGTGTTACTTAACATTCCAGTGCTACCTGGTGCTACTTAACATTCCAGCAACAACCGCGCCACCTAATCTGCAGAGTTATGAGAAAATTTCCTGTCACTGACCAACCTCGTATCCCTCACGATGGTGCCGGTCGTATTTTTGTCATGGACCGTCCGTAGAAAACTGGAGTTAAATTTTTTTTATGGCATATACTGAAGACAAGTTGATAAGGCCCATATGCAACGCTGGGGGATCTTTACCTCTGAAACTACTAGAACTGTTTCTATCAGTCTCCTGTATTCGACTGAAGTCTGTTGTTCAGGCGAAAAGTTTCGGCAATAAAGATTCCAAAATAAAAGAATTGAGGAACACTGCAGCAAGATCCTTCTCAAAAGAAATGGCTGGGACAATGTGTGTTTTTAGTTGTATTTTAAGAACTGTTTAAATGATTACTTATGCTTTAATGTTACACATTACTCGTGGGAAAAGAATTAAATCTGGGAGGTAATGAGAATTACTCCAAGGAAGGAGAAGGTAGCCCAAATTCCTTGGAATAAGAACACCTCGCCCTGGAATATTCGACCTCAATTAGGGGTTAGTTTCCTAACTTTTGGAATTTGCTTGTAACACGTTAAGGCACAAACACACCAGTCACGATGCCAAAGGTGTCTTGTGGTTGGGACATTGCCAAACTGTGATAAAAATAGCAGAGAAGGCAGCTACTAAGCGAGACACGGGAACCATGTGAGTGGTGGAGTTACGAGCGCTTGTCACGAGGAACCAGCCGCCTATCAGTTTGACCTTAGTTGTCCACAAGGATGTTCAGAAGGGAATATGTACACCCGGGGAGACCTGGACAGCCTTCAAGAGTGGTGAAATAATTTAATGGAATTCAACCCAAATATGTGAAAGGTCATATACACAGGGAAAGATGAGAGAAGGCAAAAAGAGTACCGTCTGGGAGGAGACTAAAATATCACAATTCAAAGGCTCTGGAAGTAAACATCACAACGGAAACATCACTGGACTTACACATCTGCCCTAAAACGTTGGCGACATATAACAGACGTCGGAATATAACTTCCTTCAGGGTTTATTAAATAACTCAAGGACTTTGGAAAAGAAGCTAAAGGAACTGAATCCAACGGCACAGAAGGACCATGGAAGACATGATCACGACGTGCCAGAATCACAGTAGATGAGGACTGCTTTCAAGTGCATGGAAAAGAGACAGTATCAAATGCAACTAAAATATAAATGAATAACGGGAACGTTAAAAAAAATGCATTAGCCTCAGGGCAATAATAAAGCAGAAAGGGCTGCATGAAAAGTAATGGAGGCAAACTCAGTTTCACGAGTAGGTATAACAGGAACCAATAAGTCGAGAATTAATAACGTCTGAGTCATGTTCCAAGCCTCGATCTTAACGAAAATATCTGGGCGAGTGCAAGCCAGTACAGACTCGTACATCAGCACGAGGACACGCAAGGAAGGTGTCGTACCTAAACGCTATAGGTCGCCTGAGTACACTCGACCTACATTTCCTTCCTACTGTGAAATAACTTTTGAAAATTCAGAGAATCGCGCACCCACCAAGCGTTGCCCCAGGTCCAGCTGGTGGCTTGTTTACACCGCTGTATTCGAGAAATAACCTGCCTTCAGGAGTCATTTCTGTTATAAATATTTTACTTAATTAAGATAATCAAGTTTGCATTGGGGGCTGCCACCTTCGACAGACGTAATGAAGAGTCAACACGCCAGTCAATTCATTGATTTCTCGCAGACCAAGAAATGGGACAGTACCAAGGAGGACAGCAGGTGTGGAGGACAGCAGGTGTGGAGGACAGCAGGTGTGGAGGGCAGCAGGTGTGGAAGAAGACAGGCAACGCTCATTAATATCCGTGTCAACCGCACGCAAGAAAGCAATCATTTTTGGCTCGTACAGCAGCTATTTTATCAACCTGAATGATCAACCCAGTTTCTGGAAATCGAAGCACAGGAGAAACACTTATTTGGAAGTATTAAATTTTTTTTAAATAAAAATGTATTACACACACACACACACACACCTACCTTCAGCTGGCATGGGCAGAGATTGTGCTCTGACCGGACCTTCACGGGTGACCTAACCTTAATAGCTTTTAGCTTAGTAGCTCCTCATAGTAACTGACTTGCATACTGCTACTTCTACTGTTTTCAACATTGTAATTATTGCCTCTTTATTAGTAATTCCTCCTCCTGGGAAACAGGCACACAACTAAACAAAATTAAAACATTGCAGCCACAGCAAGTCTTAACCCACTCTTTTCCACAGTCAGAACTTGATTAAATGACCGTATGTTTGCAGTCACAAAATCTGACAATCATACAAGATTCGCTCAACAAAACACTGCAGGTAGTTTCTGTAAACCAGCAGTAACCAGTATCATGACAAAGAGGTAAGACCAGTCCACACGGTGTTGAACATTGTGGAGGTACCGAAGGAAGTGCTGAGTACCCCTGAAAGATGTGGATGCAGCAATATGACCAGGTACAATCTCGAGTCCAGTGCTGAAGGAAGGTGCTGAAGTCCTTTAAAGTCTATGGGTAACTGGAGGCTACCAGAGATGTACAACAAGTGCTATACCAACAATAAAAAATACAGAAAAGGGGCATTAACAACAACAACAACAAAAATACACCTACCCACACAACAGGTCAAACACCAACATCCCTTCAACCAACCCATCCCTTCAACCACCCTCAACATCCCTCCAACCACCCTCAACATCCCCCCAACATCCCTCCAACCACCCCCCAACATCCATCCAACCACCCCCCAACATCCATCCAACCACCCACAACATCCCTCCAACCACCCACAACATCCCTCCAACCACCCACAACATCCCTCCAACCCCCTCAACATCCCTCCAACCACCCACAACATCCTCCAACCACCCACAACATCCCTTCAAACCATCCTCAACCACCCACAACATCCCTCCAACTACCCCCAACATCCCTTCAACCACCCTCAACATCCCTCCAACCACCCTCAACATCCCTTCAACCACCCTCAACCACCCACAACATCCCTCCAACCACCCACAACATCCCTCCAACCACCCACAACATCCCTCCCAACCACCCTCAACATCCCTTCAACCACCCTCAACCACCCACATCCCTCCAACCACCCACAACATCCCTCCAACCACCCACAACATCCCTTCAACCACCCTCAAACATCCCTTCAAAACCCCCCAACATCCCTCCAACCACCCTCAACATCCCTCCAACCACCCTCAACATCCCCCCAACCACCTACAACATCCCCCCAACCACCCACAACATCCCTCCAACCACCCACAACATCCCCCCAACCACCCACAACACCCCTCCAACCACCCACAACATCCCTCCAACCACCCACAACATCCCTCCAAACCACCCACAACATCCCTCCAACCACCCACAACATCCTCCAACCACCCACAACATCCCTTCAACCACCCACAACATCCCTTCAACCACCCACAACATCCCTCCAACCACCCCCCCCAACATCCCTCCAACCACCCCTAACTCCCTCCAACCACCCCCAACAACCCTCCAACCACCCCCCAACATCCCTCCAACCACCCCCCAACATCCCTCCAACACCCCCCAAACATCCCTCCAACCACCCACAACATCCCTCCAACCACCCACACATCCCTTCCAACCACCACAAACAATCCCGCGTCGTCAATATCTCACCCCACAAAAGTCTGCCAATGGTCATTTTGCTGCTCTATTCTCTACTTTTTTCCTCTAATTCGCAATGTTTTGCGCCAGTCTTCTTGGTTAAGTATTTTACTGCACGATTTCAGCTTCAATTGGTTTACCTTGGGGTCCACGCCAGCTGGCTGGAAGGTTCAACTCACTTGCTCATTCCTGAGCTCATCAAGTTAGTTACCTATGCATTAGTTGTAATTTCAACACACGAATTAATCAGCTAAAACGGAACATGATTACTGTTTGCCCAGACAAACCTTACGTTCTCAAAGCCTCGCAAGTTGCGATTTTCAACGTATTATTGCGTTCCATTGGTCTTGCTCCTTCCCCCCAAATGTTCATTATGAATGAACAGAAACGTAATCTAACCTAACGTAAGCCTAACCTAATCAAATTTAACTGAACCACATCTAAGTAACCAAATCAAACCTAACTTAAACGTCAGTAGAAAATCCTTACGAAAACCCAGTGTTTCAATTATAAGTTACTTGTATCAAGAACAAGAGAACGTTCCTTGTATCTAGAACAAGAGAACGTAGCTCGATTGGCAGGGTACTCATCTCACACACAGAGGTCAGTGGTTCGATCCCCAGTAAGGGTGGAAACATTAGTGTGTGTTGCCTTAACACGCCTGCTGTCCCTTTTCACCTAGCAGTAAAATAGGTATCTACGTGTTATCCGACGCGTGTGAGTCGCATCCTGGGGACAAAATTGACCTAATTTGCCCAAATTACTCTGCATAACAAGGGGCTTTCTATATAGTAGTATATCACAGCTGTCAGCACCAGACCAGCCGGGCTGTGATTAGTACGCTGGACTGAGGCCAGCAGTAAGAGCCTAGTTGATCAGGCCGGTTGATCCACAGGGAGGTCTAGTCAAGGACTGGGTCACGGGGGCGTTG